TACATTATGTATTTTGTTTAAATTAAAATTGACAGGTGATTACTCACTTTGTGTTCCCCACCCCATGTGATTAGGCAAGAGTTTCTTGCCTCAGTGGTTGAAGGCAAGGAAGATAAAGGTGCGCCAGCATGAAATGAGCTCCTGTGTCCACAGGCAAACTGCTTGTGGCATCCAGCAGTGTCGACCCAAGCAGTTAAGACTGTGCATGCTCAGGTTACTGCTGCGGAGCAAAGCAGAGACACCTGCCCTCTAATGACCATCATCACCATCACGCAATGTACATGAGCGTGTGAATACACGTGTGCGTGCGTACACACACACACACACACAGAGCAACTGGATTCTGTGGAGTACTGTGAGGTGATGCAGGGGATCGGAATCCAAGTATTCTAGAAACACAAATGCACACACATGTTGTGGCTGGTACACAGCACAAGATGCTGAGTCTCCAGCTCCTGTGGCTAACACATGCCCTTCTGTAACAGCTTTAACCCTGGCATGCTTGTGCTCTGTGAACTAGTTTTTAAATATTGTTTATTGCCGTTGAGTTGAGTATGACTCATAGCGACCCTGTACAACAAAAGACCTGAAGCCTTTCTATAACTATCGTTTCTCAAAGTTCATAGAGTTTCAAGAAGTATGTTGTTTAGGAAGTGGATGTCACTCCTGCTTCCAAAGTTTTTAAATATTCAAATTTAAAACTTAAAGAAACAGAAACCTATTCAGTAATACATGTTGTTGTTCTGTACTATTATGTCTGCATCAACTCAGAGCTCACCCTTGAGGGAATTTTCAGAGACAGTAAATCACAAGGGAGAAAATGGCCCATCTTTCTCTTGTGGAGCAGCTGATGGATTCGAACTGTGCACCACTGGACTGGCAGTATAACTCCATAACCATTTGGCACTGTCAGAAAAAAAGAAAGCTACTGGTCTTTAAATAGAATTCCTAAATTACTACAAATTTATTGTTTCAAATTTATTCTTTTGTGTGAACAGAGTTAATCACTGATCTTGTCTATTAAGATTTTGAAGGAGCCTTCTGTGGTCCAGGGGTTAAGGGGTTGGCTGCCAAACGAAAGATGAGTGATGAGAAACCACCAGCTATTTTCAAGAGAGAGAATGAGGCAGCATGCTTTTGTAAAGATTTGCAGCCCTGGAAATGCCACGGAGCAACTACCTGGTCACTATGGGTTAGAATGAACTTGATGGTAACAGGTTTGATTTGGTTGATACTGAGGATTTGGATCACTACAAAGATCTAAGAATTACATTACATAATTCTTATAAATAAGTGTTCAAGAATAAAGCTGAAGTTTCTCATTACAGACATTGAAACAATGGGAAATAGTTTTTGGAGTTTTTTTATTGTGTTTTTGTTGTTGTGTTTTTAAAAAAATATCCTCCTGTGAGATTGACTGCCGATGAAAACCTGCCGGATAGTCAGCTGTGGATCAGTTCCAAAGCAACACATACACACCACCAACTACTACTTAATTGAGAGTTTGATGGTTTAGCAGTAAGGAATTGCACTACCAGCTCAAAGGTATGCAGTTCAAATCCAACGGCTGCTCCATAAGAGAAAGACGGGCGAACTCCTCTAGTATAAGCAGTAATACTACCTCCTGCCCTGATTTTGTACAAATAAATTCCAGGTTTGTTATGTGTTTGTCTTCCCTCCAGAATAATTTCCTCTTTAGTGCTAGGTCTCAGAGCATAAGTGAATTCAAAGGGGTCATAGATTTCTGATCACAGAGCCCATACCCAGCAGAGTTTTGTAAAGTTTAATCAATGACTTCCAGTCTCCCTTATGTGCCCTGCTTTTTGTCTCACCCTTCCCCTGGGCAAAACAAACTAGTCATCATTTATACCACAACGGGAAAGAAAGTCAACTTTGACACCTCTGCATGAGTGAGAGTCAGCTTGTACTACATAGTTCCTCTTGGAAAAACAAATGTCTTTGCCCCACAAAGGGGCAGTTTCTGGTGGCAAGTAGAGCTGCTAATCCCAAAGCCAAGCGTCTCCAGTAGTTTAAATCCACTAGCAGTTCAGAGGGAAAACGATGAGCAGTCTCCTGAGGAACCTGTTGAAGGCCAGCTAAGCCTCTGAATCCATCTGATTGATAGCTGTGAGTGATACCACTAAACTTTAGGCAGGAAGAGGGCAGTTGCTTGAAGTTTTCTCCAAGGGCTGAACTCCCCACCTATCTCACGGATAAAGGAAAGAAGGAAGGAAAAGAAGCAATTCCAGTTACCTAAGAGTCCATTTAACTAATTCCTGCTCCAATTTATCCCCCTATAAAACAGTCTGTGAATCCTACAGCTCCTGTATTTCTCTCTAGGACTGACCTCTATTTTTTTAGTTATATTTCTGATCTCACACTGTGAAAGAGTTATTACGGGTTGGAGGGAGAAAAAAAGAAAGCCATTCTCTATTTGAAAATGTGGCCCATTTATTTTAACTGAAAGGCATCATTACACAGTGCAAACACTTCTTTGGTAATGTACTGATTACAATAAACATTAAAAAGGCATTTGGCTGCTGGCAACAGTTAAAAAGGTAAATAAATATGTACACTTTGCTTCATATTATGTCAATCTCCTTACAGTGGCTACTAAAAAAGAAAAAAAAAGTTCATTCAGGCACTGCCCACTGTTTTGATAACATATATAAAAATACACTGGTGATTTCTGCAGACATTTCAGTTGGAATTACAGAATTTTCTTGTAAATCACAGACAGCTTCTCACTGCCTGCTCGGTTCACTGAGAACACAGTCATTTTGACATCTGCCCAAGCCCCAGTTCCTTCCACATGTTTTAATCCACTTACACACCGCCTCAGCAACAAAACCACAAATTTGCCTCCAAGTTGCATATTGAGACATCCAAACATTCCCAGAAGACTAATACATAATGTGCTGTAATTTTTATACCTGAGCAATTGACATAGCCATCAGATTTTTAGAAAAGTTGTAAATTTCCTAGCACACAGAAGTAATTTCCAAGATTTGATTACTGAATTTAACTTGGTGAAATCACCAGTCCCAACCACCAACCAGGTTTTGTTTATCATTTAGTAAAATGAGGAAATGATGTTAAGCTAACCATTTTATACACAGAGTATTGCAAATAAACTGTAACTACTCTTTCCAAGGGGTTGTTAAACACCTCCCTGTCAAATGTGGTACAGTGACAATGCACAAAGCCATTTGGTCATCTCCTGTAAGAAGAATGTTTTCGTTAGAATGTCTTTAAAGTAAATGATATTAGACAACATCTGTCCATTATGTGCCATTCACTACTAAGGGACTTCATTAACCTCAAGCTCTGATTATTTTCTCAAAATAGTATCACACATTTTTGGCTTTCCCCCCAAAACTTACTTTAGTAAAATTTTGCAGGATAAAACTATTCCATATCCAGGAAGTCTTCCTTCATTTCTTTTATGCCCATACCTTCCCTCCCAAGGCATGCTGCCTTAACACTGTTATTCACAAGTTACACAGCAACTACTCTCTTCCACCTAAAGAGAATGTTTATGCTTCTGTCTTCCTTCTTGACCTAGGAGGGGAATTTCGAAGGGCAGTGGCAGTTTTATTGATTCATCTCTCTATCAACTGTACCCATACCCAATAAACTACCTGACACATAGTTGGCACTTGGGTAATTTTGGTGAAATGAATTTGCATGTTCAGCAAAATCTTTCTAAGAGCATGTCTCAGTTTGTGATTAAAGGAAAAAAAAATGTATTTGGTTAAATAAGAAGAGAGAGACCATGAGGTATGACCGTTGTTTTTCACGGAACTCTGAAAGAACTTGTGTGTAGTGGAAGTTATTTCTCTGCTATTTTTAACACCTATAAAATGGGGAAAATTTCATAAAACAATGTATTTTAGGAATATGATTGAGGTATAAGGATTGACCTTTTAAAAAAACATCACTAAACACTCACACCACCTGAAATTAGAAAGATCCTAATCATCAAGTTCCTTCTATTAGAAGAACAATCCAGAGAGTTGATTTGGAGTTATTCATCTGTAGACTTTCATTAGGAGTAGAGATTTGCAGACACAACTCAAACAGTTGTCTGTGGACTGATTTTGGCAATGCACAGTCATTCAGTAGGTATCATGAGATATAAAATGGCATGAAAGAAAACTGTTCACATTCTGTTCACAACTAGGCAATATGTATGCAAGTTATAAATACAGCCAAACTTGTTTTCTAGAGGTGGCTTAAAAATCATTACAATCACATGTGAAAAGAGTGGAACCAACAAAAGTCACAGGATCTACATAAGCTGTGAGCAAAGGGAATGCTTATTTCAGGATCAAACCTTGATGAACTGTGAAATGTTACCCAGAGAGCCAGGAAAGGGGGTATGTCTTCAGGTATCATTTTCAGGGGAGACATGGGAGCCTAGATTTCATTACTGAGACTCCGTTTCACCATAATCATTCTCATAAAAGATTCTATTCAGATGGCCAAATACTGATTTTCTTTTTTAATGTAGCTTGAAACGTAACCCAGATTTCGGCATGCTTCCTGCACTGGTGACTCATTATTCACACACATCTGCAGGGAACACATTTGTAAGTTTCTGGTACAAGAACTGATTTTTAGAGGTATTCTGCTTTATTTCAAAAGAAATGGTGCTGTTTGTTGAAATCAATTTAGGAGCCTAAGTGACTTAAACCGTGCAATTTGAGAGTAGCACCAAAATTTTTCATCAAGAAAAAAAGAACTAAATAAAAACCTGAGAAATCTAACATGAAGTTAGGACATGTGTCTATTTCCCTTCCCCGACAATGGCGGTTATTTCCTTCCTTGTGAACACGCTGCAAAAAGCATCCTGCGCAATATTCTGTAACAGCACCAGTTGAATGTTGTCATGAAATGTCTCGAGTCCTTGATGTTTCTCTCAGTCTGCAGTGACCTGTACCGGCCATCAGATCTCAGGATGACCTAACAGAGAAACTCCTAGGAACTGTTCAAAGATCCTAAGGCTCCGTTCCTGTAGGATTTTTTAAGCAGACTGGGCAACATGCTCCTTCAGTTTTCATGGGAGTGGCACAATCTGCTGGCTGACAAGATTCCACAAAGCAGGTAATCTGTCCATCCTGCAGAAGAAAGACATTGTTCTCAAATACATTGTTCTCAAAGATCAAATGTGATCTTTACTGATTTCTTTCACACACCCCTCCCAGTTCATTCTTTCCCACAACACTGATTAGTTACAAATCTCTTACATGGTTTTTGTAATGGAGGACTTGGTTTTTTTTCCTGATATCATAGTTACAGACAGAGGATAACAATAATAATTCAGGCAACTACATGGATATACAAAAAGAAAAGCGTAGAAATAGCAAGAGTTTCATGTTAGCTCCCTCTCTCTCTCTCTCCCTCCCTCCTTTCTCCCCTCCCTATTCATCCTAGAAAGCGTATGCCTTATAAGGATAATCTCAGACTTGGCACACCCTCCTCACCTGCAACTGGATACTGACTGATGTGTCTTCTGGTGTCAACAGTAAGGAGAAAGAGGAAAGTAAACAGCAGGCGGGAAGCAACATAATTCTCTTTTGTTCTGCTCTCTCCTTTCCAAACAGGCACAGTCCACAGTGATGGAAACAAATCCCTCTACATCCCTCAGGACTGAGAACCAAATCCAAATTTCCTATACTTACACTGAAGTAGGGTTGAACGAGTCAATAATCAAGGTAAGCATGGCTTAATTTGTGTAAACTCACTAAACAATTTTACATTTTTCACTGTATCAAAGAGGATTCTGATTCTAAGTATGAGTTGTATCTGCTTCTCACCAAACGTTACAATACTGTTATATAAAACCAAAGTCTCTTTTCAAATTTACAATCTCCTTTGCTAAGGCACAGGTCTCTCAATGAATGTGTTCCATTTCCTATAATCCAATATCCACCATATAGCTTAGGGTGCTGGGATTGGAGGTCAGAAGACATGAGGTTAAGTGCCACTGTGCAGGGACCACACCAGCTGGACTCCAGTCCCACTGTTCCCTATCCAGGCATTTGAACATGGCTGGCAGAAGTATGCGGAGCAACTCTAGATGAAAACACTCTGATCTTTATTTACAGTCACACCTGGCAAGTCATTCAAAGTCTCTGAGCCCGAGATTTCTCACCTATGAAGCAGAGTTATAATAACTATGACTTTGTAGGTCACAAACAGGCAACTGTTTAATGGTATCCTCAATCTTTTTAGGACTAGTCAGGATTTAACCAGATGAACAAGGATAAAATGGAATGAATTTTGTACACCTGGTTTACCTCACTAGCGATAACTAATTTTTATCAGTAGACTTTCCATAGGTCATGAGCTGCCTCACCGGAACCATGTCTGTCTGACCTTTGTAAACACTCCCCTGTCCAACCCTGGACTGGCAAAGGCAGGAGTATGCAAGCAAACATTTCAATATCTGCTTTCTGGGGTGTGGGAAGTCCTGATTTGTATAGTATGTGCAGCCTATGTGGGTGCGAACATACCCAACATTGTCTATTTTAAATTACCAAAGTGTGAAGCTGAGAAGAGAAACAAAACAACAAGCTCTTGTGGGCTGACCCCAACACAGCCTGCTGACATGAGTGTTTGCTGCCCTTCTTATGAGTGACACATTCATACATGGACCCTGCCTCTACTACTGCTTTCTTCTGGCAAAGTCAACCAGTGCTGGTGAGACCTGGTGCTTCTGTATGTGGCAAAGACACTGCTGTAGTAGATACTGTCAAGTCAACCATGATGAGCTCACAACAACCCTGTGAACAACAGATCTAAACCTACCCTATCCTGTGCCACCCTCAGATGTACCATCTCTGATAGTTCCTGCTCTATCTCTGATTTGCTGAAGCCCACTGTTGCAGTCACTGTGTTAATTTATCTTGTGGTTGGTCTTTCTCTCTTTGTTTGATACTCCACCTTTTCTCACCGTGATGTCTTTTCCAAGGACCAGTCCCTCCTAACAACATGCCCTAAGTATGAGTGATATAATTTCACCATCCTTGTCTCTAAGGAACTAACACCCTGACTCACTTCAGAAATGGTGACTGGGAGGAGGCACATGAACTCCTCACCCTTTAGCTCAGTCAATTCTCCTCCCATGAGATTTCAGAGTTCAATTTAAAATTTGAAAACAAATCTCCAGCCTTACTTTGCATTCACAAACAGTGCAGGAATCCTTTTTCCATTTTGAATTGTTTACATGAGATTGACCCTTGGCATCAGTGCATTCAGTTTTGCTGAGTCGTGATTCAAGTTTCTTTATCTGCAACAAAGCAATAGAAAACAAACTAAAGGAAGAGCATTCACTGGGTGTGTGAGAATAAAACTTTAGCTCTCACAACTTCTGTCAAGGGTGATGAAAATGTGGAAAAGGGTAACGGTAATCGTTGACTACTAAGATAAACATAACTAAAGTCACTGAAATGAATAAAGTATGTTTTAAAAAGTTCATAGTGTTACATATATATTTATCACCGTTTTCAAAACCTCAGCTTTTATATTAAATATTTTTCCTTGCTTTAAATAACACCTTCAAATAGTACAGTTTGAGATCACCATTTTAAAGAAGAACCTCAATGGAATTATAAATTTACAAAGCAGATGAGTGTTGGCTGTTTGTCCCAATGCTTCCTGACAAAGTTACCCGTCTTCTGTCCTATCTGGTGCCAGAGGTACACATTTTTTACATTTTCTGTTTGCTATTGTGCATCAGTGGGTTAATTCGAACTCCTAACAATCCTGATGACAGCTCAGACCTTCCCTGGAGGGTTTCCAAGGCTGTCATATTAATGGGAGGTGATTTCCAGGTCCCGTAGAGCCACTAGTGGCTTTCAATCACCAGTCCTTCCCTCGCAGCTGAGCACTTAACTCTTACGCTACCAAGACTCTTAAAAACATGTTTAGTAGTTACCTAAAACAAAACGATGCACACAAAAACACATACACAATAAAAAATCTCTTGCAAACAAAGAAGACAGATCTCACAGAATTGGAAAAAGCAAGAATCAATCAACAAGATGATAAAATTGTCTACATTTTCAGATAATTATTGTGTTGTTGTTGTTGTTAGGTGCCATTAACTTGAGTACGGCTCATAGCAACCCTATGAACAGAAGACCTGAACTTAGTCCTGTCCTGCGCCATCCTCACACTTTCTGACACACAAGAGCTCATTGCAGCAGTCACATTGTCAATCCAACTGGTTGAGGGTCTTCCTCTCCTTTGCCAACCCTCCACCCCTCCCAGCATCATGTCCCTCTCCGAGGAATAGCACCTCTTAGCAATATATCCAAAGTATGTTAGGCAGAGCCTAATCATTCTTGCCTCCAAAGAGCACTCTTGCTGTACTCCCTTCAAGACATATCTGTTTTCTTGGTCATCCATGGGATGTTCAGTGCTTTTCTCCAACACTACAGCTCTATCATCCAACACCACAGCGCTATTGTTCAGGTCTCAGATGTATAGCTAGTAATCAGAAAGACCACAGCCTGAATCAGATGTATCTTAGTCCTCAAACTGACATCGCTACTCCTCAATAACTTGGAAAGGTCCCTAACTGCAGATTTTCCCAATATAATGTGTCTCTTTATTTCCTGACTGATCATACAAAGGGTATTAATTGTGGATCCAAGCAAGATGAAGCCATGACAGCTTCAATCTCCTCTCCATCCATCATGACACTGCCTATTGATCCAGAGGTAAGAATCATTGTTTTCTTGATATTGAGATGCAATCCATACTGAAGGCTGAATACTTTGCTCTTCTGCAACAAGTGCTTCAAATCCTCTTCATTTTCAGCCTGTAAGGTTGTTATCTGCATAATACAAACTATTGATGAGTCTCCCTCCATTCTTGATGCCACATTCCTCTTCATAGAGTCCAGCTTCTCAGATAATTTGCTCAGCATATAGATTGAACAGGTGTGGAGACAGAATACATCCCTGATGCCCTTCCTTCCCAATTCCAAACCATGCAGTATTCCCCTGCTCTGTTCACACAACAAGCTCCTGCTCTAGGTATAGGTTCCTCATGAACACAATCAAGTGCTCTGGGATTCCCATTTTCCTCAATGTCAGCCACAACTTGTTATGATACACACAGGCAAATGCCTTTGCATAGTCAATAGAGCACAAATAGACATTCTTCTGGTATTCCTTACATTCAGACAAGATCCATCTGACATCAGCAATGATATACTTGGTGCTATAGGCTCTTCTAAATCCCACTTGAACTTCTGGTAATTCCCTATCTATGTACTGGTCCAGACATTTTTGAGTGATCTTCAGCAGTAATTTGCTTGCATATGATATCAATGATATTATTTGATAATTTTTACATTAAGTTGGATCATCCTTCCTGGGAATAGGAACAAAGACAGACTAGGAATTCTCAATATCAAATATTAGGATTGGAGGAAGACTCATCAACAACCTGAGTTATACAGATGGCACAACCCTGCTTGCTGAAACTGAGAAGGACCTGAAAGCGCTTGCTGCAGAAGGTAAAGGACTGCAGCTTTTAATATAAACTCAAGGATAATTATAACAAATTAAATATAACCACATGAATAAAGTATAGTAATATATTGCCTGTGGACAAAAGTGGGATGATCACAGATTTCTCACCTATCAATCCTGATTTGCAATTTGTTGGAAAAATAGTAACAAATACTCTACATGTATTTCTCACAATATAACAACAGAGGGTTCATAATAATGCATTCTGAATCCAGTGGAAGAAAAGTGTGAAACAACACAAACTCATACAAAATGGCAGGTTTGCTGCTCTGATGAAGACTGGTCGAATCCTCAAACTATGGCTCTTGATTACACTTTGTGCTGGGAGTTAAACTCACTCTTTTGGCTCATCTTCAGCCAAACAATAAACACTTGGGAGGTACTCAGTCCCTGTAACAATACAGGCTCAAAAGGGTACTACTTGCCCAGGGAGAAAATTCAGAAAGCAGGAAAAGGTATGATAGAAGGCTGAAAGGAAACAGAAATCATAGGAAGGAAAGGGAAAAGTGCCCTTATAAAGTAGGGGGTATAAATAATGTCATGAAACAATATCACTATGAATGGTTGAACAGAAATCCATTTACTCTGTAAACTTTCTCTTAAAGCATAATAAAAAAGTTTTAAAAAATATCTCCACGGACACAGCGTGGCCTGTACAGTGTCTGGCCACACCCACTTGTCTTCTATGATGCCTATGGCTAAGAAAGGGATTTAGAGTGCTGTGTTTGAATAAGATATAGCTAATGAAAAATAATGTTATCAAAGAGGAACAATAGTAACAAACATTGCTGTTGTTGTTATGTGCCATCGAGTCTCCTGTGACTCATAGTGGCCCTATCTACACTCATCCTGAGCCAGTCTCACTGATGCCAACACACCTACCCTTATTACCTCAGTTACTGTATCAATCCATCTCATCCAAGGTCGTCTTCTCCTTCATTGTCCCTCCACCATTCCAAGCATGATGTCTTCTCCAAAGACTGGTCCCTCCTGGCCCTGTGCCCAAACTATGTGAGATGGAGCTTCAAAATCCTTGACTGTAAGGATCAGCTTAATTTCAACTTTCCCAAGCCAGACCTGTTTGTTTCTTTGGCAGTCAATAGTATGTTCAAGACTCTTCTCTAATACCACAATTCAAAGGCATCAATTCCTCTTCTGTCTTATTCAGTCACTATCTGATGCATAATAAGTAATTGCAAAGATTATGGCCTGAATCAGGCACACCTTAGTCTCTAGGCTGTTATCACTGTTCTTTAGTACTTTGGAGAGGTCCTGGACAGCATAATTCCCTAAGGCAATTTATGTTTTAATTTCCTGACTGGTGCCCAGAGTGTTGACTGTGTAGTTGAGAAAACTGAAATTGTTAACAACCTCAATCTCTTCTTCATCTATCATGGGGCTGCCAATTGGCCCAGTTGTGAGAATCTTTGTCTTCTTGATGTTGAGCTTCCATCCATATAAAAGACTATAGTGCTTGACCTGCTGCAGCAAGTGCTTCAGGTTCTCCTCAAGGTTAGGCAAGCAAAGTTGTGTCATTGGCATAACCAGGTTTTTGATGAGTCTTCCTCCAATCTTGATGCCACATTCTTCCTTATTAAAGTCTAGCCTCCCAAATGATCTGTTCTGCATATAGACTGAAAAGTTTTGGAGACAAGACACATCCTTGATGTACTCCCTTCCTAATTTTGAACCATGCAATGTTCCCCTGCTCTGTTCTGAGGTCTCCTTCCTGGTCTAAGAATAGGTTTTGCATAAGCACAATCAAGTGTCCTGGGATTCCCATTCTTCTCAAGATTAGCCACAGTTTGTTGTGATCTATACAATAAAATGCCTTTGAGTACTCAATGAAAGACACATACTCTGCTTTCAGCCAAGATCCATCTGACACTGGCGACAGTGTTTCAAGGGCCACAGCCTCTTCTAAAACCAGTTTGCATTTCTGATAGTTCTGTTAATGTACTGTTCCAGTCAATTTTGGTTAACCTTCAGCAGAATTAGTTAGCACAGAATGTTACTTGGAACAGCACCACATGGTATATATTTTCTGCTCTCTTGCTCTTGTTTCAGTTGTCCCATCATGAAACTCTACCAAATTCTACCAAAACTCACCATGTCAAAAACACTAGTTACTGTCCCAGGTACTATATATTCCCTAGCTTCCCCTCTGAAGTCCCTAGCTGGTTTATTCTGACACTCCATGCCCTGATCACAATGTTCAAGACATCTGTGTAGCTTTGCCTTTTTCAATATAGACCATGAGAATTTTATTTCCTGGCACCTCATGTACCCAAGCAGGGAGCTGTGTTGGCCTAGTGGGTAAGGAGTTGTGTTGCCAACCCAAAGGCACATAGCTTGTATCCACAAGTTGCTCCACAGGAAAAATAGAGGTTCTATCCTTCTGTGCAATTTACAACCTATGGAAACCCAATGAAAGGTCACCTAAAAGTTGGTTCCAACTGCAGAGCACATAACAACAACAACAACAACAGTGACATGCCAGCTCCATAATGGGTTGTTCCCTCAGCACTTCTATAAGGCAGTCATGTCATATGAAGGGATGAAGGGCTGTCATGTCACTCATTAATTTTTCACATTACAAAAGGGTGCCATTGTGGTATATTCATAAAAGTTCCCTGCTGTTAACTAAAGTCAGTGGTTTGAATATGCCACTGCCTCTGGGGAGAAAACACTTGGTGATGAGTTCCTGTGAAGATGAACAGGCAAAGAAACTTTATAGGCTATTTCACTCAGTCATCTCAACAATAAGACTCCAGAAGACAGAAAAAGGACCTGCACATAGGAGGCAGCTGTGGAAGAATCTGGAATTTCACTGTTTCTCAAAAAGAAACTTTGCAGTCAGACAAGGAAATAACTAAAGTTTTTTTCCAAACCAAATGAATGGTGTGCATCAGTGGTATGTACTTATTTTTTTATTTAGCCTTATCTCTGTCTTCAAAGGAATAACCCTACTATCACTAAGAAACACAACAGAAAAAATAGGAAAGGTGATAGGAAGTATGTTGTTTTGTGACAATGAGCCAATTCTGACCCATACTTATCTAGAAGATGGTGCAAAATCTAAAAGAACATTTGTGTTCTCTTAATCCTATCTTCTAAATGTCACATAGTATGCATCAAGACCCCTATTTCCTAACAAAATTTCAGAAACATGCCTTGATTCCACATATATCTCATTAACTGAAAGAAAAAAAAATACTTGGTTTGTGAAAGGGTTAAACATTATATTGAAGAAGTGGTTCAAGAATGTAAATTACCTGAACACTCTAAAAGAGAGAGCAATATAAATTTCTGGACGGAATGGGCAAAAAATGTGAACAGAAGTCAAAACCACAGAAATGGCCAGGTTATTGGTCCAATAGAGACTGGTAGAATCCATGAGACCATAGCCCGTCTAAAGAGAACAAAACTCCCCTCCCTGGCTCAATTTTCAACTAAACAACAAAGAAATGTGAACAGTTCTACAATGTGAACAGTTAACACTAGTGAGGTTAGAATAACCAACCATTTGTCAAGGAGAGGGCCCAGAAAGCAGGACAGAAAGATTAATAGAAATGAGAATGTGTATGAATGGAAAACCAATTTCTTTTGGTAACTTCTACTCATATTACAAATTAAAAAGAACTCATTTACATGAAAACAAATTTGAATCTTCTTAAATAAATGTTCAAATTCTGAGCACACACTCACCAAGCTTATGGTATTATTTATAAATATCATGCTCATATAAATAAAATGTTCCCATTTATAAGGTGAAGAAATGATGGAATTAAGTAAAATAATTTTTGCATAATGTGGTCATGAATATAGCATACATGTTCCATGGTATTTCCAGAAATTAATTTCACCTCATTCAACCTATCTACCCATATTACAGTTACAGTGTATCATCCAGTTCACTTTTGTTTTCATTCTGTTCATTTTCTTTAACTTTCTGCTAATGTATAAAATAGTACAAAATATTACTTCTAACCTTTATTGCATAATAAAAGTATACTAAAGATGTTATAGTACAGTTTGCTAGTCATCATAAAACACGGGAAAATATGTAATTATTTGTGTGATACTGAGTTGCTAATTAAAACCTTATGAGACAGTTGTGTTTTTTAAAAATAATATTTTGTGTGTGTACCATCAAATCAGATCTGACTGGTATAGGAGGAGATTGCCCCTCTTTCTCTAGCAGAGCATCTGGTGGATTCAAACCTCTCACTCTGGGATTACAATGTAGCTTCCTGCCACTAGGCCACCAGAGCTCCCTACGAGATAGTTTTAAATGAAACCAGTGGGTTAGATTAGGCCTCTTTATGTAATAGTTTAATGGCATCTTCTTAGTGTCACTGTCTTTGACTACTGATCAAAAAGAATTTTAATCACATACTAGAGTGCCTCTCTACCAACGCAAAGGTATGTGGTTCGAATTCACCACCTGCTCTGTGGGAGAAAGATGAGTAATCTCCTCCTGTGTGATTTATTGCCTCTGAAAACCGGCTGGAGGATCATCTATGGATCAGTTCAAACACAAAGTACACAATAACAAATAGCAGGGTCACTATCATTGATCAATGATCAAAATCACTTTAGTCACAAGCTAGGGATGTTAGGCCTATAAAAGGACATTTATTTCTTATACACCTCATATTTGTCAGCAACAAGTAAAATAAAAATTAAAATTAGCATAGAATATTTTAAAAATTATATAGGATTGTTGTTATAAAAATTATGTATGTATGTGTTATTTACATAACATGTGGTATATGTTATCTAAGTTCACTCTTTCACTGGGTTGGCAACCCCACAACCAGTGACAGCAGTTTCTACACATCTCAGATGTTCTCCCACCTCAGTGGCCCTGGGTTGTGTGGGGCTAGGGATGACTCATCAATGTAACTCAGAAGCAAACAAAGCTTAAAAAGAAAAAGAAGCGAACAAAAATGCCTTTGCTAGAAGTTCTAAGGCATGGAACTTAAAGGATGAAAAAAGTGTTCAAAAAAGAATTTATTATCTTCAAAATCACCTATTATGGAAAATCTCTTTAAATAGGTGGGAAGGACGTAGGCAATAGAAAATGATGCTGAGGATACGAGAATAAGGAAGGGGGCTTGTACTTCCTGTTACCTGTTTTCTGAGGTCTGTGATGGTTTTTTGCATTTCCAGAACAAATTCTTTGAAGTCGTTAGTCCCTGGTACATCTGTGTGCTCATAGGAAGGTGCAGTAGCATTGTTCAAATATTTATTGTGTTTCCCAACACTGTAAAGAAAGAAAAAGAAGCAGCAGTAAAATATAATCTCAAGAAGTTACACCTGGTGTCATTTTAGATAGATTCAAGTCCAAATCCCCTATGCCAGTGAGATAGACTTCAGTTTGAGCTTGATGGAGGTTGTGCTATCAGCTGCTGCTACAGGCAGAGGAAGGACACAGGCTGCTAGTGGGTCAATTCCCTAGCAGACCAGCCTGTGCCTGAATCCACCAGTCACATGAGGACCTGGTGGCCACAGGGACCTGTCGTAGTATTGAGCTCAATCTCTCATAATACAGTCATTGTACGACTTGAAAGACTTTTAGAATTATTTCTAGAAGTTGTGGAAGATCTATTCCATTTAAAAAATCTACTCCATTTAAAAAATGTTAGCCATTGTTGACAACCGTACCTCAATATTTTTCGTGGTTTTGCTTTCTTTGTAGGCTTATCTTCCTGGTAGCTGAACTCAAGGGAGCGTTTGCCTCGGAAATGATATGAAAAGGCATTAAACTGTCCCCTTGTTCTACAATCTGAAATAAAAGGATAGAAGATCTCAGCTGTTGATGACTCTAATTTTAGAACAAATGAGGTATAATTTTTCAAGTATTGACAAACATTATGGAATACCTATGAAATAAATCGTAGTAGTTTGACAATAGAAGCAATGATAGAGTGGACTGAATGGCTATATCCTCACCTTCCTAGACCCACCAAAACAATCCGTGGTCTTGCTGATTTGACCCTCCCCTTTTTTCCAGCCATTCCTCCATCTCTCATTCACACACTTCCTTTCTCACATGTCCACTTTTCCAACAGCCTCCTAATTGGTCTTCCTGCCAGCAGAGGACCACACAAAAATTCATCCCTTCACATCACACCTCCATGTGTTACTCTGAGGCCGGGGGAGCTGATTGGTGATCCTTTCTCTACTTCTTCTCCTGGGTAACACTTTTCTACCTTCCTGACTTAATTAAGTATTCCTTATGATTCCCTAGATGGAGAAATGAGCTCCCTAGTGCTGTTCTTCCTAGACTCTGTTTTTGCTCTACTGAACAAAATGATCCAGTATCTCAGTGCCTAGAATGTGAATATAAAAGTCAAATATGAGCACTTGCAAAATTCAAGAGATTCTTAATGAGAATGGAGCAAAAATTCCAGAAAAAATATAAAATCTCTCTGAAAAACAAACTGAAGCAAACATATTTGCTTACTCTCCTCACTCCCACGAATGGCTTGCCATCATTTTTCTGGTCTATTTTTGTTTTGATTGTAGCTGGAAAGGGATGGAGCCATTGATTGTGTACGTCAGCATCAAGGCTTACAACTCTGCTTTTATTCATGTGATAAAGCTGCTAAATAACTCCACTAATGTATGCAATTTGAAACTCATTGTTGTCAAACAAGTTCCAACTCAGCAACTAATGGTAGGCTTCTGGGGCTATAAACCTTTATAGGAGGATGCAGAGAACAGATGGGGATCTGAACTGCTGACGTTTTTGTTAGCAGCTTGATACACTGATATGTTACCCACAAAGCCAAGAAACCCTTTGTATTTTTATTTTTGAGATTAATTATTTAATTTAGATACTTATCTAAAATGCTAAGTTCATCTCACTTTACTCATTAAGCACTAGAGATAAACCAAAACCAAACAAAACCAAAAAAAAGGAGTTCCTTAAATGACTCCCTGGGACATAAAAACAAATTTTAAGAGGCATTCTTCCTCTTCACAGTCATCCTCTCTCCTAGTAATGCGCCAGTTCTCTGATTAGAGTAACACATTTTCTCTCCAGAGCACTCCTATCATCTCCTTTGAAGCTAAACCTAAACATTTCTGAAAATAAGAGAAAGATGATGCTGATGATTAATAGCTTTAAAACCCCATTCCAGAATATATGGGGTTGGGATAAAGAGTGAGAAGACCTTTGTGGAATCATAAGAGTAAGGTCAGAGAACTAATCTGTGAGAATAAGGCAGAAGAGGTACTGATCCAATCACAGGTACAAGGGTGAATAACTGCTCAAGTGCTGACACTGGCTCCGGACTTCAGAACTCCTACTGAAATGTCACCACAGGGGGGATCTCTGCTTGTCTTTTGCCAGGAATGTCCCTCTCAGTCATTTCCACTCACTACACACCACAGTGCAACACACTGCTCAGGTGCCAGCCAATCCTTACAAGCCTGTGTGATTAGGCTGTAAGCAGGATGCATTCCTGGAACCTGGCATTATACATTCCAGAGTTCTGACTGAGGCTAATGGTAACGGAGATCTATATATTCATAGTGCAGATGTACAAAACCCTTTAAATGCCTTAGGATCAGTCTATAAACACAGAGGATAGACAGAGTTCAGATGTAAAAATCCACATTACAGTCATCCAGTTATTCGAAGGATATAGCACCAGTTTCAGGGGGATTTTTAAAATAATCTAGTCCAGATGCATTTCAGGGTTACAGTAAGAGTTCATTTTTAAAGGGAAGAAATGCTCAATATTTTTCCTAACTAATAATAATTCCCAGTTATAAAATTAGAACACTTCTCTTTTGTCAAACACTCACATCCCATTTTAATCAGGCAACTGAAATATCACCAATACTAGGACTGACTGGCATTGTGTGCTTCCTGACATGATTGAGAAGGACACAAGGTGGTTGATACCATATTCCTCCCCCAAAAAATCAAACCTGAACCTTACCAGATAAATTCAAGTTAAAGGAAATGCTATGAAAATGGTATCAAAAAAGCAAAACTGAGAAATTGTTCCAGATAAAAGGAGACCAAAGAGATATGCAGATAAAAAGCAATTCATGATTCTGGATAGAATCCTAGATTATAATATGGAATGGTCCTATTTGGGACAATTGATAAATGCTGAATAAAATTAAGGTAGATCACAATATTCAGTCTAAATTTTCCAATATTGAGCATCTGCATTGAAATAAATTATTCAAGAATAACGTAATAATATGCCTTCTACTTCTTCAAATTGTTTAAGAACAAAATGCAAGTTTATGCCATGATGAGGATACACGGAGAAGACAGAAAGAATAAAGGGCAATTAACAAAGCAAATGTGTCAAAATATTAATAAAATAATTAGGTCCATGAGTTATTTATACTATTCTTTTAAATTAGGAATTATTGTAAAGAGTGTGTGTGTGTGTGTGTGTGTGTAGTCTTCTCTTAATGCAGCAATCATTCAACTGTTGTAATTATTAATTTTGGTCATATGAAAAAGAAACTCTGTCCAGGAGTTAACTCTTAAGTTCATCATGTACTCAGGTACCATATTTTGACTTAAGAGATGAAAATTATTAAAAGCTACAGTTCAAGAATGCTGGTTTTCAATAAATTGAATCTTGCTTAAAGTTGAACTAAAACATATATAGCAATCAACATTTGGTTCTCTAAAGCTTTTTTGTTTTTTTAAACACCACTCTGCCTTTTACTTTACTCAGAGATGGCTTTATGACCACACTAAAAGAAATAAAACTTACAAAGCATTTTAAGCTTTCTCAGGATTATGCCTGCTATTTTAACAATGAGAAAGTATCTGGAAGAAACTATGCCCAAAGTAGCTTCAAATACATAAGTTTCTCATATAGTCCAACTATCAACAGGCAAAAGCTTATAAAATGATAATGGAGTACAAAATCTGGCTTTAAGAGATTAAGTGTTTTAAAAGACTACAGATTTTCTAAGTAAAAGAACAGAAAATCTGGCTTCTTAAGCAGCTAAGAGTAACCTGGTAGAGCTATCAGAAAATGAAGTTTTTGTACCAGAGAATAAACTGGATTGGTTTTCCCCAAGAGTTTTCAAAGAGTATAATTCTCTGCAAAACACAAGAGTAAAATTCTGTACCTACGGAAAAACATTTTGAACTGAATAAATTAGTGAGAATATTGAAAAATACATCCCTAAACCACCAGAGATTTCCAAGGGAAGAAATAACCAGATTTAGAAGATTGAGAACCATAGTTTTAATTTTTGTTTGGAATTCTTATATTCCAAAACACATTAATTTTTTTAAACACACACGCATACATACACATACATGAACCTATAAAAATATAGCTCAAATATATCAACCTAAATTTAAAATATTTATTCATTAAAATGCCCACCTGGCCAAAATTATTATATCTGGGGAAAAGAGGAGTGGAAGACAATATAACTCTATTTTCTGAACTCTGCACATTTTTCTCAAACTATGCAACTAAAGAACAGAGTCCAAAGAGGACTAGACTAGGAACATGAAGACCCCGGTGCCAATTCCACCTCTTCTACTAGCTAGCCAGGTGGCTGGATGAGTTATTACTTCTTCTGGGCCTCATTTCCTCACCCACAAAACCTCAAGGGTACAGAGATGTATTCTGAATGTATCTTCCATATTTACTATTTTACGGATTTTTTATCACTGTTTTAATAAAGCCAAAAGCACATTTAAAGTGGGAAATGGAAATCTAGGTTAACCATGAGGTGAATTCAGGGATGTAAGTGGAACCTGAGAATATGACTACAGCAGCCACATGAAACAGGCTGTTGTTAAAAGTACCACACTAATTACCCTTTAGTCATTTCCTACATTAAGTGACCCATGTAGGCCGGAGTAAAACTGCGCCACATATAGTTTTCAACAACTGTTTCTCTGAACTGAGGGACCAGACCTTTCTTTCAAATCTCCAGCCTTTCGTTAGCAGCCGACAGCATTAACTGTCACTATCCAAGGAACTCTACTGATGAGACAAAAACAAAAACTGCACTCTCACTGCCATTAGGTCTGAAGAGACGCAGAGCTGGTTCCCAGCAGGTTACCAAAGCTGGGAGAAGACTGGCAATCTTCAGCAGCTGGCGGACTGGAACCACCAGAGAGGCATAGTCTCTGGGTTAGCAGAGCTAATTTCCGATGGACTGTGCCATCAGAACCCAAGTTGCCTTTAGAGCAAGTAGTTGAAAAAATAACTCATTGAGCTATCTGGGTTGTATATAACAAAAACATGCAGGCTTTCCAGGAGTGAAGAAATATTTTGTCCATTAAAACTTATTAGAGCTCAAAATAATATGATTGTGTTATACCTGCATGGGTTTTTTGGGTTTAGGGTGTTTCTTTTTTTAACTTCTATAGAGCATACAACATTTTCTCCATTTATAAAAATTATGACAGAAATTTTTAAAACAGCATAATTTGTAATGCATTTCTATACAGTAGATAAACACTTTTGCTTCTTCTACATCTTTCATCTGTGGGTAGGATAAACAGGACAACAAAATTCATATCAGACAAATTAACAATAAAACCTATGAAAGCTGGAACTGAACAGAACAGCTTTATTTTTCCTAGTCTTACGTGTTCTCCACCTTTGACAGCGTGCAGCTTGATCACTCTGTGGAAATACTTTTATTTTCCTTCTCTTAAAAGTTTCTGCCTTAGAGAGGAAGTAAAATTATCTCTCTATGCAGATGATATGATAGTATACTTAGAAAACCCTAAAGACTCAGCAAAAAAACTATTGGACATAGTTGACGAATTCAGCAAAGTAGCACGATACAAGATCAACATACAAAAATCAGTTGGATTTCTCTCCAGTGACAAAGAGAATACAAACCTGGAGTGAAGAAAAACAATACCCTTCACAATAGCTAATCACAAGATTAAATACTTGGGAGTAAATCTAACCAGATGCACAAAGGATGTATTCAAAGAAAATTACAAAACATTACTACAAGAAACAAAAAGAGACACCCATGAGGACTCAGAAACAGCATGACTCCCAAATGTGAAGAAATTTTATCTGCCAATTGCAATGAATTTTGCGTAACTCTCATGCCCAGTCTCTGTATATAAACCCAATCTTGCTTCCTCTCGGGTCGGAATGGTTTGGGCAGTACCTGATGTTCTTGACTCACCCGTTTAATAAAGAAACCCTGTTGACCTCTTTACAAAAAAAAAAGTATTTGGGATTAATAAATTATTGAATGTACCAAAAAAAA